CATACAGAATCAACTTAAGAACCCCAGGCGTCCCCAAGTCAGCTGCTGCTGAAACTGATCAGCAGCTGATTCCAGGAAGCCCGGGGCAGAGCAACTCTGCCTGGGGCTTCCTGTAGTCAAAGCCCCGTTCGTAAGTGCGGATCCGACGTAAGTCGGATCCGCGTAAGTCGGGGACTGCCTGTATATGCAATAACATGTCACTTACTTTTGAGATATTTTCTGCAATCTGGTAGCTAAATATTTATTTAGTTTTAATTTATTTATTCTTCTTTGAAAACCATGTTCTTTCGAAATCAGTTCACCTTATCGATAATTTTAAGTTCTGCTAGTGATTAAATTTGTATCTAGTTAAAGGGATGGGGACCTATGGCCCAGCATGCGGCATGTCTTGATCCGGCCCACGAGGCTTGGGCTCTCTCTTCCCACAACAGAGCAAGCCAGAGCTGGCTTGTCCTGCTATGGAGTCCGGAATCCCAAGCGTAACAGGCTGGATCAATGCAAGTTACAGGCTGCATCGGGCCCACGGGCTCTGCCTAGCAGGGGAGAGGAAGTGGTTCTTCATTCTGATGTCATCCCCTACTCCCTCTGGCTGGGGAAATGGCAGCTCAGAGAAGCTCTGGTCATGTGCTCACATGCGGTTCTACCACAGGGGAATGGTCAGAGGCCATCTGGGGGACCACCAGCCATGCAACTCCTCCCCCAACACAGGGAAGGGTCAGGACCATTCCTCTTCACCTCTGCTCTACTCTTCCCTCTCTTGCGCTGTCCTCTCCCTGCCTCTCCTCTTCCCCCCAACCAAAGCAGCGCCGTGGACCAGCAGGGCTGGTGTCAGCAGTAAAGGTCCAGTCCCCCGCCCTCCTCTGCACATGGAGCTTTCTCGCCCCGACTTCCGGGGCGAGACAGCCCCGTTCGTAAGTGCGGATCCGACATAAGTCGGATCCGCGTAAGTCGGGGACTGCCTGTACTGCTTTGGCAATTTTCATTAAAATTGTGAAGCCAAACCAAAAAAAGTAGTCAATACAATAGTCTTCTGTTGATATATGCTTTAGTAGCATGGTCATCAACTGGTCGATTGTGAAACCTCGACCAGTCAATCACGAGGCATTCGGTGCTGTGGGAGGAGTGAGTCGGCCCCGGAGGAGGAGCACGGGGTGGCCCCCTACATTTTCCCCCCATTCCCTAGAAGCCCTACTACCTACCTCCAGCAACAATGGAGGTAGTGCCAGCTTCCCGCAGGTGAACAAAAGTCCTGCAGCTTGGTGCCGCTTCCTGAGGTTCTGGAAGTGCGCTGGCTGTTATCCTCCCTCAGGTCTGTGGTGTGCTGGGCGTGCTGTGGGAGGAGTGAGTCGGCCCCGGAGGAGGAGCACGGGGTGTCCCCTGCACCACGGGAGGGGGCAGTTGGCCCCGGGGGAGGCGTGTGACAGGGCTTCCCTGCTCTGTGGGAGGGGGGAGTCGGGCCCCGGGGGAGGAGCGCGGGGTTTCCCCTGTGCCGTGGGAGTTGGCCCTGGCAGAGGCACGTGCCAGGTTCCCTCGGGAGGGGTGGGGTGGGGGGAGAATTCTGGGAGGGAGGCGGGTGCAGGGGATTCTCTGCCCTGTCCCCACTCCTCCCAGCACCCCATCCCCACTCGCAGAACCTTGTCTCCACCCTGTCCCCTGCCGAAAGACCCACCAGCACCCTTCCCCAGTGCTATGTCCCCTGCTCCCACCAACACAGTTGGGGTCACATTAGTGAAGCTTGGGGTGGTGGTGGAGGGGAGGGGGTTGGAGGAGGATTTTTTTTGCATTTCACTTGTGTGGCCCCAACTGACTTTTTTCTGTGGGTCAATGACCCCTGACAGGTTCCCTGCCCTTCTCAGAAATAAAGACAATGCAGAAACTTTTTGTGTTTGACATAGTATTTTATTTCCGCTTCTTTTAGTGAAAGAGCAAACAATCTATCTTTCGATCACCCCTATATTCCTCTTTCCATGAAGAATAAGGGAGCTTCCAAAAGAAGGGGTTTTTCTGACATTTGGTCCAGTCTAGACAGGCCAAATTTTGGAAAAATCTCTTCCTACAGAAGAATTGATGGGAGGGGGGGGAGAGGGAAGCAGCAATATAAGGGTTGGGGATAGGAAGTGATGCAGAGGAGGAGAATAGAGAGGGTGTGGCTTCAAGGAAGGGGCAGGGTGGTAGATCTTGGCTTGTTCTGTCATTTAAAAAGTGATCTTGGGTGTAAAAAGGTTGGAGACCACTGCTTTAGTAGTTAAATTCCTGGACTGTTGTTGCTCATTACAAGTGCTGTCATTATGGGTGGAAATCATGTAAATATTTCATTTTATTAATATTAGCAGAACTGACTTAAATGGGGTCGGCATGTTGTGTAGTCTTACCTTAATCTTGGATTCATGCCCAATGGTGTGAACGAAACTATTTGCATATATATGCCACCACACTTAAGTTGCGGCCCTCGGCCTGTGCTGAGAGTATCTTTGGAAGCCCCGGGGACCACAACGTTGAGTAGCTCTGGTCTAGATCATCCTTGATAGATGTCTATCCAACTTGCTCTTAAATATCTCCAGTGGTGGAGATTCCACAACCTTCCTAGGCAACTTATTTCAGTGTTTAACCACTCTGATCTACACCATGGGGGAAAGGGGTTGATAGATTTTTTTTTTCTTTTTCTGGGTAGAATAACAAGGTCTACCAGGGAGCAGTGGGGTGGGGAGGAATAGCTCAGTGGTTTGAGCATTGGCCTGCTAAACCCAGGGTTGTGAGTTCAGTCCTTGTGGAGGCTGTTTAGGGATTTGGGGCAAAAATTCATCAGGGATGGTACTTGGTCCTGCTGTGAAGGCAGGGGACTGGACTCAATGACCTTTCAAGGTCCCTTCCAGTTCTAGGAGATAGGCAATCTCCATTAATTTAAATGTTTGTGGCTGATTTGGCAGGTCTTCTAAATCAAGTGCCAGCGGATCAATCTCTGGGCACAGTAGTCTAGATCTAGGTGAAGAGTGTAAACAACTGGTGACCCTGCCCGCTCCACATGGCACATGGTGCTGCCTTCCATGTGTTGCTCCCTAACTTTTGATACCTGACTTAATGTGGGAGGGAAAACATTGTGGAGAGATGATAGTTGAGTTTGTGGTCATGGCCCATGATGATGTTGGTTATAGTAGTGCCCAAGTACCTCATAATCCTAAGCACTGTACAATCACAGAGCAGCAGACAGTATGGCTATCTAGACTGGCAAGTTTTTGCGCAAAAACTTGCCAGCTGTCTACACTGGCCATTTGAATTTGCGCAAGAACACTGACGATCTAATGTATGATCATCAGTGTTCTTGGGCAAATACAATGACTCTTCCATTCGGGCAAAAGCCCTCTTGCGCAAATGCTTTTGCACAAGAGGGCCAGTGTAGACAACGCGGTATTGTTTTGCGCAAAAAAGCCCCGATGGCGAAAATGGCGATTGGGGCTTTTTTGCGCAAAACCGCGTCTAGATTGGCACGGATGCTTTTGCAAAAACTTCCGTGCCAATCTAGATGCGCTTTTGCACAAATACTTTTAATGGAAAAGTTTTTCCGTTAAAAGTATTTGCAATCTAGACACAGCCAAAAAGTCTTGTATTCTCTTCTTTTGTAACTTTCCCTGATAAATGTATTTTTGTGCTTATTTCCTGATATTTTGAAGGTTTACAATAATTACTGTTAAACACGATCTGGAACAAAGGCTAATAAAATACAGATTAGCTTTATTGTTTAGCAAGAAAGATTGCCTGGTTTGATATATTGGGGTGCATTAGTAGGAGTATTGTCAGCAGATCTAGGGAGGTGGTTGTTCTCCTTTATTAGGCACTGGTGAGGCCACATCTGGATTGCGTCCAATTCTGGGCACCTTATTACGGAAAGGATGTGGTCGCATTGGAGGGAGTCCTTTGGAAGGCAACAAAAATACTAGAGGTATAGAGTACATGGCTTGTGAGGAGAGGTTGATACATTTGGGCTTCGTCTACAGAAGAGAAGAGTGAGGGGGGATTTGATAGCAGCCTTCAGCTACCTGAAGAGTGATCTCAAGAGGATGGAGAGAGGCTGTTCTCAGTGGTGACAGATGGCAGAATGAGGAGTAAAGGGCTCAAGTTGCGGTGTGGGAGGTCTCGGTTAGATATTAGGGGGGAAAATGTTCCCTAGGAGGGTGGTGAAGCACTGGCAATGGGTTCCCTAGTGAGGTGGTGGAATCTCCATCCCTAGAGGTTTTTAAGTCCTGCTTGACTAGCCCCTGCTTGACTAGAGGGACACAGGGGGAAGAGAAGGGCATGTGCAGGGGTCAAGGACGATGGGGCGGGGGGGCAGGTCCCTAAAGGACTGAGGGGAGTGAGAAGGGCAGGAGCCAGGACAGCAGAAGAGGTTGAGGAGTGGGGAGCAGCAGTTACCAGGGGAGCAGATGAGGAGAGGGGAAGAGGTATGTCAGTAGAGGGAAAAGGGAGAGGTTTATAAGAAATTCATTAATAACTTGGGTGCCACAGTGGCACATCCAAAGAAGCTCAGGTGAACTCAATACTGGTGCACAAGAAAAAACTCACTCTGCTCATGGGTGGAAAATCTTAGAGGGAGCACTGGTGTTGGTGGGGAGGCTGCAGATCCCACAGCTGGTGTGCCTGTGAGCATTTGCAGGGCTGCTACTGGAGCTTGTGGGGCTGCTGCAGCAATGCCAGGTAGCTGGGTAGAGGAGTTTAGTGGAGAGGCTGGTGCTGTCCCTCTTCCCCCTCCCCCCCCAGAACCTTCCCTAGTCCAGAAATCTCCCTTGCCTGGGACCGGTCAGATTCCAACTTGTATATGCAATGACTGAGTACTTATCCATTTTCTCAACAGTTAATTTCTGTAGCTTTTTTAATGTACACATTACTTGGTGTACGTACATAGTAAACTTAATATGATGTTAAAGCATATCTCTTAATAAATAATATAATCTTTGCTTTGTAATGGATCTGAATAAAAGGCCTATTACGGATTTCTTTCCAATCAGGTGATGAAGTTTATTGAAAAACGACAGAACACATCCCAGTGAGTAAATTCCAAAATAATACACTATTTCTCTGTAGGAAAGCTACTTGGGGAAGCTGCAATACAGGGTCTTTACTTGAGCAAAGCTGTCTGAAATTACTAGTCTTGTGCTGGGAAAGAATCTCCTATCCATGGAAAAGAATTATTTGCCACTTAGGTGATGGTGCTTGAGAAGAGCTACAGCTTGAAGCAGAACCACAACCTTCCAGTAACCAGAGTGCAGAAACACATTTCTAAAACAAGACTGGTAATTTTATCCCCTCCTCCCCAAGGTTGCCAAGAAAGGAAGGAAAGAGTTCAGTGCCGCCTGCTTGTTGATTTTCCTGTAGCCTCAATATTGATAATATCTAAACAAAAGACTTGGAATTTGATGGATACAGGCTGTCCTCGCTATAAGTCCAAGATACATTCCAAAAAAGTTGGACTTCTAGCGAAACAACTTAAAGCAGGGAATCTTTTTTCCTATAGCTGACTTCCATATGCGCAAATTGGATTTTTGTGTGTGTGCAACTTAAGAGTGGGGAATGGGAGGATTTCTATAAACACATGAGTTCCTACAAGCATCAGCAATTTTTTTTTTAAGTATATTGGGGCGACTTATAGCAGGGATGTGCTGTACTTAAAGCATAGTCTTTTGTGATACAGCCTCATTAATAACAGTTTGAAGTTGTTACAGAATGAGTCTGCTGATTTTATGAATTGTATTAATATAACTTTGTAAAGCACCATTGTAATATGTGATGTGTAAACCCAGGGAATCAGTTTTTGTTCTAAAGAGCTTAAAAGTAATGTGCAAAGAACAGTAATGATGACCTTTTGCTAGCACCTTCAATGAAGGAGATCTTCAGGTTCTTTCTTAAGTCTTGGAACACTTTTGGAGAAAATTGAGCTGTAACATAAATTCACAAGGTCTGCCTGTTCTCATCTTAGGCTAATCACCAGGACATTGTGCTTTTGACTAATTGTTCCTTTGTTTGTGGGGGTTGCTTATTTCACAGATATGTTCTTATTGATACACCAGGACAGATTGAGGTGTTCACCTGGTCAGCATCAGGCACTATTATCACCGAGGCACTGGTAAGTGTTTTTTGCACAACATGCAAGTGAGAGTGACTGAGGTAAGTGGTTGCAGAATGGCATGTTTTATTCAGCTAAAACTTGTTTTAATCTATTTCAGGCTTCTACTTTTCCTTCAATTGTTGTTTATGTGATGGATACATCTCGCAGCACCAGCCCTATCACCTTTATGTCTAACATGTTGTATGCTTGCAGGTAAGAAACTTTGGGTTCAGAAATCAAATCTACATATACTTTCAAAAATGTACATACTTTTCTTATCCTCTCAGAGAAATGAGGGAACCCACATCATCTTGAAAAGATATCAAAATTGGAACAAAGTTACTGGCTTTGACCATTCTTGTCTCACTCACAATATTCTTTCCCAAAGAAAACAGTGCAACACTGACATTCAATTATTCTTCTCAACCAAGATCTCTGAAAACTCTGACAAGCAGCTGTTCCTCCCCACTCTGGGAAGAGGGGATTAGCACATAAGGAGCATAAATCAGGCAATTTGTGGTGCACCAGAAGTGCTGGGAGGGAGGGATATGAGAGGATTATTGGGTAGTTCTGAGGTCTACAATTGGCTCTTAGGACTCCTTGGGCCTGAATTGCACAGACTTGGAATAGTCATGAGAATGATTAAGGGATGTTTTCTAGCCCTTTATAGTGACAGACTTAAAGAGCTCAATTTATTTAACCAAGAGAAGGTTAAGAAGTTATTTGATTACCGTATATACTCGAGTATAAGCCGACCCGAATATAAGCCGAGGCACCTAATTTTACCACAAAGAACTGGGAAAAAATATTGACTCGAGTATAAGCCTAGGGTAGGAAATGAGGCAGCTACTGGTAAATGTAAAAAATGAAGATAGATACCAATAAAATTACATGAATATTTATTTCAAAGAAAAACAATAACCTAGCTCTGTAAGTGGAAAAGGGGGTCAACAAAAACAATATGGTATCAAAAATACCGTAACTTTAAAAGTACAACAACCTTAGCTCAATCAGCAACCAAGCTAACACACAAGAGCTAAAATCCTTCAAAACTGGAGTTCTCCTCCTCATCATCTGTATGTCCAAACAGAGCTTCAGCTGGTGTGAGGTTATCAGCATAGACATTGTCATCATCACTGAGTTCACAGTCATCACCATCACTGCTGTCGTTCTCATACAAAGCGCTGTCTTCACTGCCATCCATAGCATTACTAATGCCACATTTCTTGAAGGCGCGTTGCACCAGGTCCTCTGGAATCTCTTCCCATGCATCACGAACCCACTGTGCTATCAATTCTATGTCTGGCTTCCTCAGATTTCCAACTTTTGTCAGTCGAGCTTGACCAGATGACATCCATTCATGCCACATCTTTCGCACACGGTCTTTGAAAGGTTTATTTAAACACACATCTAGGGGCTGCAATACAGATGTAAGCCCACCTGGAATAACTGCCAAAGTAACTTGAGAAGACTTTGCCAATTTTTTTATGTCATCAGATGTGTGGGCTCTGAACATATCCCAAACTAGCAATGATGGTTTTTTTCTTTAAGGTTGCTCCTGGTCGTCCGTTCCAAATTTCTTCCAGCCATTTTTTTGTTCTGTCTTCATCCATCCAGCCTTTAATATGTGCACGCACTATAATTCGTGGTGGGAATTTGACCTTTTTAGGCAAGGTCTTTCTTTTAAAAATAATGACAGGCCGCAGCTTAGTTCCATTAGCCAAACATGACAGAACGACTGTGAAATGGTTTTTTTCATTTCCTGTGGTTCTTAGTAAAATAGTTTTGTCTCCCAAACTTGCCACAGTTCTGTTGCTTGGAAGATCAAAGGTCATAGGCGTTTCATCCATATTCCCAATATCTCCCAGGTCATAGTTATGGATCCTTCTTTGTTTTATGATGAATGAATGGAATGACACCACTTTTTCATCAAGGTCTTTTGGCAGCTTCTGTGAAATCTTCGTTCTTTGCCGCAAACATAGGGCAAACCTATTCATGAAGCGGGTACACCATCCTGCTGATGCAACAAAATTTTCAGTGCCTGGTGCTTTAAATTTGTCATCTTTAGCCATTTGAAGGGCACGTAAGCGAATTCCCATGCGTGTTACACAGTAACCATTTTGACGACACTCCATAACCCATTTATGCAATTCAGTCTCTAGAGCCCCATATGAAGTCGTTAAACCACGTCGAGCTTTTTTTGCCTTTGGAATCTTTTCCAAGTCAGCTTTCATTTTCCGCCACTCCCTTACTTGTTTTTCGTCAACACTAAATTCCCTACTTGCAATACTGTTATTGCTTTCTTCTGCTCTTGACACAACCTTAAGTTTTAAACCAGCTTCGTATGACCTGCGTTTTTGTTTTGGTCCAGGATTAGAAGTACCGATATTGGGATCCATTTCTAACAGGATAAAAAAAAGAATTTTTAGGATGGGGGGGCGCCAGGCCCCGTCCCTCCTTTTTGACCCCTCTTACTTCTCATAAGCCCCACTCCTTATAGAATCCACCCACTCCATCCCCTGTATTCCACATATTGTGTAAGGAGTATACAGCTCAGCGTCATAAGTTGAGAGAGATTGTATATTAATTAGATAAGTTACGGTCACATAAACAGCACTCTGTACCAAAAACCTACCGACTTATGCCCGCCTTCATGCCTCCAGCTTCCATCCCGGACACACCACCCGATCCATTGTCTACAGCCAAGCACTAAGGTACAACCACATTTGCTCCAACCCCTCAGACAGAGACCAACACCTACAAGATCTTTACCAAGCATTCTTAAAACTACAATACCTGCACGAGGAAGTGAGAAAACAGATTAACAGAGCCAGACATGTACCCAGAAGCTTCCTACTACAAGACAAGCCTGAGAGAGAAACCAACAAAACACCACTGGCCATCACCTACAGTCTTCAGCTAAAACCTCTTCAGCGCATCATCAGTGATCTACAACCCATCCTGAACAATGATCCCTCACTTTCACAGGCCTTCGGAGGCAGGCCAGTCCTCACCCACAGACAACCCACCAACCTGAAGCATATTCTCACCAGCAACTATACATCGCACCATAATAACTGTAACTTGGGAACCAATCCATGCAACAAACCTCGGTGCCAACTCTGCCCACATATATACACCAGCAACACCATCACAAGACCTAACCAGATCAGCCATACCTTCAATGGTTCATTCTCCTGCACATCTACTAACGTAATATATGCCATCATGTGCCAACAATGCCCCACCTCTTCAGCGCATCATCAGTGATCTACAACCCATCCTGAACAATGATCCCTCACTTTCACAGGCCTTCGGAGGCAGGCCAGTCCTCACCCACAGACAACCCGCCAACCTGAAGCAAATTCTCACCAGCAACTATACACTGCACCACAGTAACTCTAACTCAGGAACCAATCCATGCAACAAACTTCAGTGCCAGCTCTGCCCACATATCTACACCAGCGACACCATCACAGGACCTAACCAGATCAGCCACACCATCACTGATTCATTCACCTGCACATCTACTAATGTAATATATGCCACCATGTGCTAGCAATGCCCCTCTGCTTTATACATCGGCCAAATTGGAAAGTTAGATGTCTCCAAGTCACCAGGACCTGATGAAATGCATCCTAGAATACTCAATGAGCTGATAGAGGAGGTATATGAGCCTTTAGCTATCATCTATGAAAAATCATGGAAGACAGGACAGATTCCAGAAGACGGGAAAAGGGCAAATATAGTGCTCATCTATTAAAAGGGAAATAAGACCAACCCAGGAAGCTACAGACCAGTCAGTTTAACTTCTGTGCCAGGAAAGATAATGGAGCAAGTAATTAAGGAATTCATCTGCAAACACTTGGAAGATAATAAAGTGATAGGTAACAGCCAGCATGGCTTTGTAAGGAACAAATCTTGTCAAACCAATCTGATAGCTTTCTTGATAAGATAACGAATCTTGTGGATAGGAGAGAAGTGGTGGATGTGGAATATCTAGACTTTAGTAAGGCATTTGATACGGTCTCGCCTGATCTTCTTATCAGTAAACTAGGCAAATACAACTTAGATAGGGCTACTGTAAGGTGAGTGCGTAACTGGCTGGATAACCATTCTGGGAGAGTAGTTATTAACTGTTCACAATCTTACTGGAAGGGCATAACAAGTGGGGTTCCACAGGGGTCTGTTTTGGGACCGGTTCTGTTCAATAACTTATCAACGATTTAGATATCGGTATAGAGAGTACACTTATGAAGTTTGAAGATGATACCAAGGTGGGAGGGGTTGCAACTACAGTAAAACTTGTGTTATCCGACATGCCTGAGGATTAGGGCGTGCCAGTAACCTAAAAATTCTGGTTATCTGAGGGATGGAGGAGGGCGGGAACCATGTGGGGCCTATGGGGGAGGGGAGGGGGGTACAGGAGCCATGCGGAGGCTGGGATGTGGTCTGCTTAAGGGGGGCCACGAGCTGCGGGTGGAAGGAAGGGGAGGATGCGGCCTGGTGAGGGGGGTGGAAGCTGGAAGGCAGAGATGGCGGGGGAGCTGGCCTGCCTGGGGTACCAGGAGCCGTTGGGGGGGAGAGGAGAAACCTGGCCTGCTGGGGGTGCTAGGAGCCGTGGGGGGAGCGTAGATGCTTTGTTTGTCTTCTGAGTGATGTCCCTGTGGGTGCTCCGCTGTAGGTGCTGGGCTTGCCCCAGCACCGCAGGATGGAGATGTTCAGAGCTGTACCTGACTAGACCATGCATGCGTGGCAGGGCGTCTTGTGGTGTTGGTAGTCTTCCGTGCTGTGCAGTCCGGTCCCAACTCGTTCCTCTTCAACCGCCTCAGGCTGCAGATGGAGCACATCTTCTCTCTTCGTTATCCACTGTTTGTAAGACAAAACTGTTAAATTTTTCAACTGACCCTTAGTTAATACCTGTTCCCGTTACGTTTTCTTTTCCTTTTAAAAAAAAAATTCTCTTCATAATAGCTTGTTCGAACTCTTCTACAGCTAAGTTTCTGTTTTCCCCTTACCCAGTTACCTGTTGTTGTATATACTTTAAAAAAAAAAAAACCCCTTGGAGAAAAGAAGTTTTTCATTGTCGGCTAAAATGCCTGGGTCCCCGGGTTTCAAAAAATGCTCCCTATGGTGTGACACCATGCCGGCGTGTATCCGCTGCCTGGGAGAAAGCCATGTGCCGCAGAAATGCATGTATTGCTCTAAGCTAA